TTTTTTTGGTATCTAGTACGGATATTTATATTTCTGTACTCACCGATACCGGTACTTCTGTTTGCATGGAGCCGGCTTCATGCTCACTGGTGGCACTGCTGGTCAGAGGAAATCTCCCACTGACCGGAAGTTCTGGCATCGGGGGTAAGTATTGGAGCATTTGGGCGAGTACGAGTACCCTCCCAAATACTCAGTATTTGCATTGATACTAGTATCGGTGCATCCCTAATGTACTCCCAAACTGAATGAGGCCTTACACTGTCACAGGCCCAGCCCTTAAGTATTTTGGTGGGTTCTAGTTAAAATAATACAGATGCTCCTCGCTTAACGACTTACCTGTTTTGCGACCACTCGAACTTACGACCGTCCTCCTCCGACCTCGCGCGCCAGTGCGACGTGTCGCCAGGGGAAGTGACGTCCTCCGATCTTCACTGCAAGTCCTGATGAGTATTTTCAGTGCCCGATGTACAGTACACTGTTCGGTACTGTACATCTGCAACGCTATACAGTACTGTACTAATGCAGTACAGTACTGTATAGAGTTCCTCACTTAACGACCTGGTCGTAGGAAATGAACTCGGTCGTTAAGTGAGGAGTACCTGTATACACTAATTGAACCTGATCCATTTCTTAGAAATATTAGTTGTTTATGAAGGCGAATACTATGCGGTGGGTCGCTGATCAGAAACAAGAATATGTTTGAACACATTCATGTTCTAGGTGGCTTACCAACTAATGAAAATGACGGCACTGGATCATACTTCTTTATGCCCGGGGTGTTAAATCCCCTTCTTCTGCAGGCCATTTTTTAGTATTCAGCGCTGCAGTAGTTTGACATTTATTCAATCATGCAATGCTGTTACCACATTTAATTTTAAATAATGTTTTGGGGGATGGCTAGAGATTGCTTTTGGTGACATTTAATCACCGCTGGGTTTTTAATTTTTTTTTTTTACTATATATAAAAAAAAAAATACAGGAAATTTAGAAAAAAATAAACTGTTTCAAACATTTTATTACCCAATTTTTTCGTAAAATATGGGGTTGTGTCGGGTAAAAAGATACCAAACATGTCAGGCTTCAAAACTTCGTGTGCCCACAAAATCTCAAACTACCAAACCCAAAATTACCCATATGTGACGCTTTAAAAACTTTTACTGCTCATAAATTTAGTGGTAACCATGATTAATGGCCCTAGAATTATTGCTCTCACTCTGACGTTCACAGTGATATCTAAAATGTGCGGTGCATTTGTGTTTTCGCACGTAGGCGCACCTGATGAGCGTTTACGTTTCTATGGGCATGTATGTGGGGGGAAAAAATAATTTTGCTTTTTTTTTTTTTTTTTTTTTTAAATTTATTTTGTAATGTGGCTTTTAATTTTCTTTATTTTTGTTCTCTACACTTTACTTTATTGCTAAAAAATGGCCAGCCATACAACCCCTCAGGGGTTGGACTGCTGAGGACAGGGGGTAAAGTAATTTTCTCTGAATCCCCTTTCTGATTGTTTGGGGCATCCGAAAAATACCTGTGTCATGCCAACAGTAAAACATCCTGAGATCATTCATGTGAGGGGTTGCTTCTCAGCCAAGGGACTGGGCTCACTCACAATTTTGCCTAAGAACACAGCCATGAATAAAGACTGGTACAAAAACATCCCCCGAGAGCAACTTCTCCCAACCATTCAAGAACAGTTAGGTGATGAACAATGCCTTTTCCAGCATGATGGACCACCTTGCTATAAGGCAAAAGTGATAACTAAGTGACTTGGGGGAAAAAATATCAACATTGTGGGTCCATGGCCAGGAAACTCCCCAGACTCCCATTTAGAACTTGTGGTCAATCCTCAAGAGGCAGGTGAACAAAAACCCCCTATAAATTCTGACAAACTCCAAGCATTGGTTATACAAGAATGGGCTGCCATCAGTCAGGATGTGGCCCAGAAGTTGATTGACAGCATGCCAGGGTGAATTGCAGAGGTCTTGAATAAGAAGGGTCAACACTGCAAATATTGACTCTTTGCATAAACTTAATGTAATTGTCAATAAAAGCCTCTGACTCTTACATTAAAGTAATTGTAATTATACTTCAGTATACCATAGTAATATCTGACAAGGAGATCCTAAAACACTGAAGCAGCAGACTTCGTGAAAATTAATATTTGTGTCATTCTCAAAACTTTTGGCCACAGCTGTATGTTTGTTTCTTTTCCATAGAGGGACACAGGAATTCAGAATGGTTATGCTGCTGCCTACAGGAGGATTGGATACTGGCAAAAACAAAATTGTGGGCTAGCCCAGTATGCCTTAGCATCCCTCAGTTTTGTGTCGGTGTCCTAGGAGGATGGACATCTTCTGTCCTGCAGAAAACGTAATGTATCAGAAATCTTGATGGATGAAAAAAATCTCTTCTATCAAGATTCCTGATCTACTGCTGGGCTGGTCTCCCTATCACCGCTATCTGGATCGGCCTTTCCTAAGCTTGACTTTGGAGTGCCATACCCAGACCCAGCTAGCCCAGAATGTGACCTTTTGAGCACTGTGCTCTGCATTGTGGCGCTTTCCAGAACTGCGTAGACTGTAAAGGTTTGCCACGGAGAATACTCTGTCCACAGCTGTGACACAGCTCCAAGTATGACCCTGTTTCAGAAGACAAATCACTGCTCCAATTCTCACACTTACTTCCCACGTCAAGAGTGTTCCAGCTTCATACAAATACCACACTCCAGGAGTCGCGTGCACGCTCTGCGTTTTCTTTCCCGCCATTCAGCATTCAATAAGCACATTTCAGCTGCTGTTTCTGACTGCCTCCCTACAGTGACCTGGCCGCCTAATCCTCTTCTGCTATACAGCAGCTGGGTTTGTGAATATTTCAGGCCTAGCCTTGTACCCTGGATCTGTGCTGTCCCTGCCTTGAGCTGCAACATATTGGATTGTAGACACAAAGGGGGCTGTCCCAGGTGGCTCACGGGCCCCTTACTGTCCCGTTGCTGCTTGCACTGTGCCCTATGAGGTGTCTGACACTGGCGTCCTGGAATTTTGTCCTCTGCTTAAGTCTATGCCATCTATGGGGCCATGCCCAATGAAGCCAGTGAAGACTCCATCAGCTCTATCCCACACGGGTTTTCACACAGTCATGTGGGATTTCTTGGGACAAATGGCAAATTTGATTGATCTCTCTGACTGCAGAGGCCACAAGCATGCTTTCATACCGTCCCCTGTAGAATCCCTATCTGACTGCGTGTGGCATTAACAGCCACACGCAGACACTTATCAATTAGCCAACGATCCTACACATGAGAAGTCACAGGCTTATGCCATTATCCCCAAGATCCTCTTGGCTCTTATTGTAAGCACCACTTTAAACCTTGAGGATCAGTTGGTAGCTTCTACTAGTGCAGTGTAAAGGAGTTCCTAGAGGTCTCCCATCTCATTTTAAGTCTCCTGCCAGTGAATACGAGGAGGACTCTTTGGTTAAAATATTGGGTTGCATGACAGGCATGCAAAAAGTGTTTGCTCCATATGCCCTTCAAGGGGCATAGTTGCCCTCTACCCGTTTCCCCCACCAGAGGAAAATCACTGCACATGGAAAGCATCCCTCAGTTGGTGCGAGTCAAGAAACTTTCATCACAGAAAATTCTCAGTGGGACAAACCCTGGCGTTTTTTCATGAAGGCTTAGATCAAAATCTCGCCCTTAGCACTATCAAGGGTCAGTTCTTGGCCCTTGTGATCTTGTTCCAGAGACCAATGACTTCTCATTCTTTGATTTTAAGACCCTTGTACAGGGTGTTTCCCCTGTGTGCTTCCCTGCAACTGTGTGATCTGGTTTTAGTTCTCTCAGCACTCCAAAAACTGCCATTTGAACTGATCAGAGATATATTTCCCTTGCCACTCTCTTTCACAAGGTTACATCCTCGTTGCCATTTACCTCTGCAAAACAAGTGTTTTATCTGCTGGTCTTCTCTTGTAAAGAACCCTTTCTGGCCTTACACAGGGTCAAGATGGTGGTTTCAGCCTTTTTACCTCAACCAAGACATTGCTGTTCTGTCCCTCCTGCCTATCTCCAGATCATTAGAAGAAGGTCTCCCATCATTATCTCGATTGTAGTCCAGGCGGTGGGCGGTGTGGGTTTACCTGACAGCCACTGTGTCCACTGTGACTTTTCTTAATGGTTCCTATAAAGGAGAACCTGTTTCTCGTTCCACCATTTTTCAGTGGCTCCACCCTTTTCCATTAAGGCATAGTTTGCTAAAACTGTGAGTGGTTTTTGGGCTTTTTGGAATCGGGCAACTTTTTCTTATATTTGCAAGGCTGCCATCTGCTCTTCTACTCGCAAGTTCTCTAAGTTTTTTACCAGCTGGGTTTTCAGGCCTCTTCCCATGCAAGGCTTAGGCGTAAGGTGCTTTAGGTGGCTCTTTAAGCTGCAGGAAGTCACTCATTTCTTTTTTTTTTTGCAGGCCTGTTAATGTTCTATTGTTGTCCACCCCTCAATTGGACTGCTTTTTAAAAAAAAAAAAATTTGTACTAACTGTAAAATATTTTTCTTGGAGTCCATTTGAGGAACGCAGGTCACACCCCTCTATGTCTATGATTTTGCTCTTGGTACTGTTTAAAAAAACAAAACTGAGGCATGCTGGAAGGAAGTAGGGGTTATACTGAGCTGGCCACAATGTTTTTGTTTGCCAGTGTTCAAATCCTGTAGGTGACAGTATAATGTGTCACTTTTTGAATTCCTGTGTACCTCAATGGACTCCCAAGAAAAAGATTTTACTTTAAGTACAAAACTGATAATTTTCCTTTTTATTATACCCCACTGGAACATTCAGCAACCTTTCATAGTATTATACTGCATGGTTGATAAAAAGGTGAGTTAGTGTTTTCTTTTATGATATTTTGACTGAACCATTTTATAACATTTTTAAAGTAAGTGTGTAAGCAAGACAAATGGTTTTATGACCTTTTTAAAGACTGTGTCTGTCTTTGTTTCATCTTTCTTGCAGTACTACAGTTGTGCCTCCTTGGGTAACATTGCCGCTAATCCAGAGCATCATAAAGCCATGCTAGCCATTGGTGATAAATTCCTACTCCGTATGCTGGTCTCTCTGATGTCTTCCTCTGTGCAGAAGGTGATGTTATATTTTTAAAGCATAGTGATGCACACTATTTACATTCTTTAAAGGGAACTTGTTGGGATGGAAATATGTAAGTTGCCCTCGATGATAGAAAGGCAGTCACCTTGATCCCTCAGTACCAGGTATTTCTCTATTGCAGCACATGAGGAAATGTGGCATAGTGCAGCACTGCAGAGGTGTACTTACCGTGTGTGTGTGGGGTGTGTTTTTTATTTTGCCCATATATACACTTTAACTTTACTGTTAACACAGAGGAGTGGTTGAACTTTGCATGTCCATGGTCATAAACCGCAAATAAGCTCTGTGGAATAAACCTGTTCTGTCCCTCTCACTTTTTTTATTTTTGTTTTAACCAGGTCTCAAGTCAGGCGTGTCTTTGTTTAAATAACCTAGCTTCAAGTGGTAAGGGATTTGTTCATTGCTTTTTACTAATAATTAACTTTTTTTTTCACAAAGGAGTGTTGCAATATTTCATATGCTGTGGTTTTGTTTAAAGGAGAACTATGGGTTTAAGTCTTTTCCCCATAGTTCTCCTTAGGGTAACAGGAGGACACAAACCAGCATTCTCCCATCACCCTAGGCTCAGTATACCGTGAGCTGTAGCTCGCGGTATACTGGAGACGCCGCAGCTGAAGCGGATCCCGACAATTGTGCCGGGATACTGAAATGTATAGCGGTTTCTATGTTTACTTTAGCAATATTTTCAAAAATATTAAATAATTGTCAGGTAAACATGTTTGTTTGGGAAGTAACTATTTTATACAAATAAAAAATATAGAATCTCAGTTTATACATTTGTAAATGGTGAAAGAATTTTAAATCGGATTCCCTTCGACTGGCATTTTCTGATGGAAACCTGTATAAAAGACATACAGGTGAAACTCGAATAATTAGAATATCGTGCAAAGTTCATTTATTTCACTAATGCAACTTAAAAGGTGAAACTAATATATGAGGTAGACTCATTACATGCAAAGCAAGATAATTCAAGCCGTGATTTGTCATAATTGTGATGATTATGGCTTACAGCTCATGAAAACCCCAAGAACCCCAAATCCACAACCTCAAAAAAGTAGATTATTACATGCAATCAATAAAACAAGGATTGTACATAGAACAATATCGGACCTCTGAAAAGTACAAGCATGCATATGTACTCAGTACTTGGTTTGGGCCCCTTTTGCAGCACTTACTGCAATTACTTTTGCATGATATTCTAATTATTCGAGTTTCACCTGTATGTAGACTACCCCGGCTGACCACTCTTTTTAAATGCTTTCTCCAGGTCAGTGACTCAGGAAATATTGATGCTATCGAGTTGACATGACAACCAGGCGACTAATTTATTTAAAAGCAGAATTTAGCAATGGCAGGCTACATATTGAGCTTACTTCAGGTTTCCTTTTAGGTGTCGCCAACTGGCTTTTAACCCCTTTACGACGGTGTAACACGTACATGTGGTGTCACTGAAGTGGGCTTTCTTACGTGGCGCTGCATAAATGCAGCATGTGCTTGTACTGGAAGTGTTCTGGATTGTGAGACAGCACAGCACATTGACAGAACTGTCACCTACAGCTCCTGGTCTTTGTCTAACTATTGGGAGCTGACAGGACTAGGTCCCAATCATGTGATCACTGTCATAGACTGTCTCCGTGATCACTAGTAGGAGAGCCCTCTACTTTGACTTTCTCCTCTGTTCTACAGTACCCTTTTGATCTCCTGTCACAGAGCCGTGCCGGTCCCGGCTGCATCGGGCACAGCGGATCTCGGGACCGGCAACGGCAGTGACAGCTGCTGATACAAGCGATCGAGCGTCTCTCGAGACGCTCGATCGCTTGACTGTAAAGCTCCCGGCCGGCCGTGTAATTACAACAGCCGGCCGGGAAGCTGCTCGTTGGGCTCCACTGTCTGCTCGTCGCAGACGAGTGGATTTTCGAGCCCTGCCCATGAGCAATCTATCCGCATTTACCACCAAATTAAGGCTCATTTTGTCCTGAAAAAGAAACCCAAGGCATAATTCACTTGAATACACTATGTAGCTGCAACAGCTTTACTAACACATGCCAAAGCTGATAAACTGAGTTCAGCCTTGTTGGACCTTCCATCAATAAAGTCTTAAAGTATACTTAACGCTCTCGGTTGTTTTTTTGCATATATCTACTGCTAGCAAGCAGTAGATATATGCAAAAAAAAATATTTTTTTTAATAAAGAAAAGTTACAAAAAAGGTTATTTACTTACCTGTGTAACCGACGCTCACTTCTGCCTGACGATCTGGAGCTTCGTGAGCGGCCGAGCAGGATGATGGGACGGGCGCAAGCACAGTACAGATCTTCGGCGTGGAGAAGAGGAGAAACTCGGTAAAAGGCAATGCATGCAGTCATGAGCGTGCACATCGGACAGACATCGTAGGACACAGAAGACTCAGCAGTCAACGCTGGATCAGAGACCGACACCAGTGCTGGAGGGATTGCTGAACACAAGTGGAAGGAAGATGATCGGATCAAGAAGCATCATTTAGGGTAAGTCCTTAAATCAGCATGGCAGGGGAAGGAAAGGTTTTGTGACTTTGTCTCTTTTAAGGATATTGGGTATCTATGGTGTGCTCTATATTTGTCCCTGAACCATAAGTTAGACAACCCTTACTTACATGTTTAACATGTGACATATTGAAAAAAAGAACATCAAATATTTAATTATGAAATTGTGTATTTGTTATTTTAAGGATCATGTCTGGCATGACTATCTTATTTTGTTATACTAAAGCCTTTTGTAT